AATATAAGATGGAGCTAGGTTGTTGAGGGATTTGTAAGTTAGAAGTAAGATTTTGAATTCAATTCTGGACTTGACAGGGAGCCAGTGGAGAGAAGCTAAAACTGGAGAGATATGATCTCTCCCACTAACTCCAGTTAAGACTCTGGCAGCAGCATTTTGGATCAACTGAAGACTTTTTAAAGAAGTAGTTGGACGCCCTGATAAACCAATAATCCAAATAATAGTTGCAATAGTCCAGTCCAGATGTGACAAATGCATGAACCAGTTTTTCTGCATCATTTTTAGATGTTTCTAATTTTAGCGATATTACGCAGGTGAAAGGTTTCTGGTGAGAAACGTGGTGCCATGTGAGCTGTTGCTGCCGAAGGCGAAGTGATCATGTTTTTACTCGTGTCCTAACCATGAACCACTGATCAGATTTATTTAAAGATGGCCACCACCGCCAGCTGACCTTACAAAAACACAAACGTGGCCATAACTTCAGGTAATTTTTACAGATGTTGAGCTAAAATCTGGTGACATAATACCTGAGCTTTGTTCCTGTGTAACATCTTTGGTCAAAACTATGACATTAACCGTTTGTATCAATCCTGTCTCTGTTAGCAAAATATCTCACAACCTACTGGACATAATTCAATGAACCATTCAGCAAGGTGCCATTAGCTACATGTTTTATTTTTTTAATTTAATTTTTTTATTGGCGTAAAGGTTTTACAATCTACAAAGTAAACTAAATAAGGTAAAAAAAAAAGAGTTAAATAAATTTATACATAAATGAGTCAAATAAAATAATGTGTACCTTTTTATCTACCGGTATACAAACACCCCTATTTTTTTTTAACAAATGTGCAAAAATACATTCAAATTCATATAATAAAGGGTCTGTTACAACAAAAATAAAAGTACAAAATATAACAAAAGGATCTGTTTATGAAATAAAGTAACATTTCTTAAGAAGAGTGATTGTTTTTACCAGTTTCTGATTATTTAAATGAAGTTTTTCCACAGAAGTAATATATGTTTTTAAGTCAGTTTCTTTACAAAATATTAAAAGAGGGGATTTTTTTTCACTCCTTTTCATCTTGTGGACATAATATTTTTCCAGGATTATAATTAGATTTACTACATATATATCATCTGAAGAAACAGCTGAATTGTTAAAGATGAGCGATAATTGCAATTTTCATAATGCAATGTTCTTTCCAACTTTTCCTGTAAGGAGCCTTTGCAAACCTGACCAAAATATTACAGCACGAGAACATTCCACAAATAAATGTTCAGTACTTTCACCATTAGCTGCACGTCTACAGCTGGTTAACTTTTGGAGTCAACCCAGTTCAAGATGGCTGCAACAGCTAATCAACCTAAGTCAACACAAAAATGGCTATAACTTGGTGAATGTTCTAAATATTGACATTAAATTTGGCGTGGTAGTAGCTGCGGGTCCCACTCAACACGTACTGATAAATCAAGCGAGGTACTGCAGTATGACATGGTGGTATTTTTAAAGTTGACCCAAAGTGGCTACAACGCCGTCATCTCTCGTCATAAGATGATCTTAGTCTACAACTCGTGGAAGTCGGCAGCTCGCTCCGACAGCTCACAGGATTTTTCATAACGAGGGCAAATGAACAAACCGATGAGCTTCTAGCCGCAGCAGAAAGTACGCCACGAAGACAACAAAGAACAGGCAGACATGTGTCTGAATGATGGACGAGCTAATCAGAGTCGCCGGCATTGATCACGAGCCCCCGCAGATAAAACTAGCATCAGTTTATAACGGGGTGCAGTAATTTCTGCTAGGACAATAAATGCCAGTCCTGAGAGGGGTGTGTCTGGTGAAACCCCAGTGAAGCACAGAGTGAGCAGATGTCGGAGTTACCACCGATGGATTCATCCAAGACGGCGTGAACAAAGAAATACCCGTTCAGTGTTCAGGATTCTCCGGGCAGCATGAGCTCTGCAGAGCTTCTGTGCAGCCAAAGAGCTTTATCAATTCATCGTAAAAATAAAAAAATAAACATTTGGAAAGTAAAGATAGCATTCTTTGAAGGAATGCATATCACCCACTGTCTGCCGTGCCAACAGTTTCAGAGTACAAGATCATCTTCTGGTGAAAAGTGACGGCGCCATTTTGACCAAACCTTTAAAATAAGATGTGCAACATGTGCAACGTCACGGAAAAGCGTGAAATCCAGAGTTGGTTAGCTGTGGAGGCCGGACCCAGAACCAGAGGGCGGGCGGGCCGAGCCCTCCCATTCAGGTGTTTCCACCGCTTACAGATTACAGCAGCGTATAAATAAGTTGAACCTATACAGTGTGTTGACTCAAGACAACCAGCAGAGGGCGCTGTAGGCGATTAAACTGGACTTCAGATGGATTTTCCACAGTTTTTTTTTAAATTTGCAGTCAGGTTTGTTCAACGAGTGGAAATGTTAAAAATGTTCAGTTTATTTTTTTGACATTTTCACCTCTCTTCAGAAGTTCATGTACAGTTGCGTTCATGTTCCTGGTGTTAACGTGTTTCTAAGACGATCATTAATGCAGTGCTAGTTTCTAAGAGTTATGCAAAAGTTGATGATGCAAACTTGAGCACAAGTTCTCAGCAATTTATGGCGACTACACGTCACTGTTCAAGTTATTTGTTTTGTATTAATAAAAACATATGGTTAGTTCAGTTGCAAGTTTACAAACGTTTATTTATGTATTTATATAGAATAAAATGACTTTTTATTGCCACCACCCCCAAAAAAACAAAAACAAATCCTCAGCCCTGCAGCTAAATTCTTCTGGAGCCTGGTCTGGTTGAGTCCATCTTGAACTGGACTGACTCCAATAGCTAATCAGTTCTAGATGCACATTTACTGTCTTCTAGTGTCGTTAAAATCCATCTGCTGATTCAAAACATATTTTGCTAACAGACAAACACAGTTGACGAGCAGCCAATGCCAAAGTTTTAATCAAACATGTGCAGTAAGTATCCATTGCTGTGATTAAACCTCAGCTACTACTTTGCACAAATTCTATCTCGATATTTGTAAAACTGGCTGAATGGAACTGATTTTTGTGTTTTCTACGGTTAGTTGGCTGTGGCAGCCATCTTGAATCCTTTTGACTCCAAGAGTTCATCAGTTGTACGTGCACATCTGATGATCGTACACAAATAGTTTTATTAAAATCCATCTGGTGGTTCATGAGATATTTTCCTAACAGACGGACAGAACAGACTCCAGTTAATAGCAACATTTTAAAACGTTCTTGTGCAATACGTCGAGGCTCCAGCTATGTGTTCTGGATCAGTCTCAGCTACTACCACACTATTTCAGGTAATTGTGTAGAAGTAGATTTTTCTGGCATCTTTAAAGTGACTGCGTCCTAAAGAAAAACTCCAAATGGCCTATAAGAATCTTTACACCTCACTTCTTTTAGTTTGTTTGTTCAAAAGTCCTAAAGAGACGAGCAGGCTCTTTTGTTGCTTAGCAACCTCAAGACAACATTTAAAGTGCCCCTGCGTCATTCTTTCATGTTATACTTATTCTAACTCCCATGATCCTCCTGTGTTCCCTGTTTGCTTCAGTGGTGGTGGTGCTGGTCTTCATCATCTGCTGGCTGCCGTACCACATCGGCAGGAACCTCTTCGCCCAGGTGGACGACTACAAGACGGCCATGCTGAGCCAAAACTTCAACATGGCCTCCATGGTGCTCTGCTACCTGAGCGCCTCCATCAACCCTGTGGTGTACAACCTCATGTCCCGGAAGTACAGGGCCGCGGCCAAACGCCTCTTCCTGCTCCACCAGCGGCCCCGGCAGGCCCGCCGCCGTCAGAGGCAGCTCTGCATGTCCAACCTGAACGAGAGCCTGACCGGGGTCTGAGCCCGCGGGTCTGAGTGAAGCTCGGGGGGTCAGGAGCTGACGAGGAAAGGAGCGGGGCTCGGTGCTTTGCAGCGCTCCAGTGCAAACTCCGGTTTATTGCTCCTCATCGGCGTTTTGTTCAGAGACTTTATTAGCATCGTTTGCCAGCTCGAGTTATAAATCGGAGTTTAGCGTCTCAGTGTTGTCCAGAAGTGTTTACCCCCCCGATAATGTTCTGTTCTCATGTGTTTCCATACGTGAGGCTTCTTCTCAGTTACAGCTCCTTAGACAAGTATCCACCTCTCGTGGCAGTCAAACTGTTTTACTGCCTTTATAAGCTTGAGTTGGCGTTTTAAATTGATTTAAAAGTGAAATTCTACTAAATGTACTGTACTTCAGATTAATGCAGTAAAATGTGTTTCAAATCACAAATAATAATAATAATAGTAAAAACACAAAAGTAAAAAAAAAAAAATGTTGTGGTAAATGTTTTCAGGCCCCAGGTCTTTGTGTTGCATCACCTTCTGCAGCAGTTCCAGCATGGAGTCTCTTCAGGTCCGTCTTCATGACCTTCTAACCTGTAGACCAGGGCTCTGCAACCTTTAAGATCAAAAGAGCCATTTTTACGCCTTCGCTCACGACGTTAAACGTGTCCGGAGCCGCAGCATCCTGCTACGGCTGCGGTTATCAACTGGTGGCCCATGGGCCACTTCAGGTTTGCTGGAGGGGGCTTGTGGCCAATAAGGGTGACGTTATAAAGCAAAGATATCTAATGATGTTCAACATTTATTAAAGAAAAAGACCAGATTTTTGTAGGGGGGGGGGTAATTTTTTTTAATTAAAAGATCTATAAACTATGCAGACAGTTCTTCATATAAAGAAATGAAGCATCAGGTTAAAGTATGTTTTACTCTTTGTACGCACTCCAGTGTTCACATATTGGCAAAACAAAAAAAGAAATGACCGGAGAACAGTTTGAACCAACGGTAATCTTTTGTTGTTGTTTGTATAAACCATAAAATTCAGTTTTATGTCGGTTTTGGTCAAAGCTTGAAAGAGCCGCATGTGGCTCCAGAGCCGCAGGTTGCAGACCCCTGATCTAGACCCGTCCTCCTTCCTTCATGATCTGCTGCAGCTCCTTCAGCTCGAGTCCAACAATCTTTAAATCAAACCAGAGATCCTCAGTTTGATTGAAGTCTGGTTTCTGTTTGGGACATTCCAGGAGGTTCTCCTTGAACCTCTGGATTGTTGCTCCAGCGGTGCGTTTAGGGTCGTCGTCCTGCTGGAAGGTGGACCTCAGTCTTAGTCTCAAATCTCTGCAAGACTTCAAGTTATTTCTCTGTATTTTGCTCCGTCCATCTTTCCTTTAACTCTGAGCAGTTTCCCAGTCCCTGCTGATGAAAACCATCCCCTCAGCATGATTCTGCCACCGCCGTGCTTCACTGTGGAGATGATGATCTCAGATCTGGTAGAATTGTTCTTAATGTTTGGTCTCATCTGACCACAGCACCTTCATCCACATGTTTGAGAAAAAAAAACCCCACTTTCCACAGCCCATCTTTCCTTCCCTCTGAGCAGGAGGGTTATCTTCAGCTTCCCGGATGTTTCTGTGACTAACGCCCTCCTTACCGTCTGATGGACCCTTCACTTGGTTTGCCGCGGCGACATCATCTTTCTGTGCAGGATGTTCAGGGTAACTTAACCCACACTCCACAACTTTGTCTCTGACCTGTGTGGGGAGTTCTTAGTCTTCATGATGCCTCTTACTTGGCGGTAGCTGTTATTACGGAGTCGTTTCACTGGTGTTGATTCGAGGGCTGGAACAGCTGATCATTTTGACGCCGCCTTTAATTTAAAATCATTTTTGGAGACTTGTTCCTTTTAATGGTCTTAAAAATCCAAAGAAATCCCAGTTGTGAGGCAACAAACCAGAGATTACCACTGGGGGTGGGGGGTATGACATTTGCAAGGCTCTGCATCGTGCGTCTGCAGCAGCGACTCGTGTTTGTTTATTAATGTATGTATGTTTTATTTATTCATTTCATTTCATCCAAACAACAAATATAATACAATTTAAAGAAAAGAAAAAAGATATACAATCACAGAAATAAAATGAAAGGCAGCAGAAGAAGAATGAATTCTTATAAAATCTGCCCCTTGTCCCCAAAATGTATTCCAAACAAAATTACTATACAAAATTTTTAATTTTTTTAATTAATTTTTTTAGTTTATTAATGACAAAATGATTTGTCTTTCCTAACCAAGAGCCACGTGCTGGTGTGATTGACCGTACGGTGGAAGACTTTAAACATTATAGGTTCGTTTACTCATGAATCTTGGCCAAAAGGCTTCAACTCGTTACCTGCAGCTCATTAGTTGTGTGGATATGTCAGAGGTGTGTACGTGTGTGTGATCAGATTGATTGTAGACGTGACGACGACAGGTTTAAATCAAAACGAGGCACTTTTCGCCTGTCTGTGTGAACACCTGAGCCCGGAGGTTCGAGGCCTGCGTACGTGCCAGTTGTCACATGTCGACGTGGTTATTATATTAAACGGGCTCTGAGTTACATTTGAGCTGGCAGCCGACAGCCCTGCATCATATTCAACGTAATGGCTGCTCGAAATGATTTCCACAGAGGAATAAAGATGTGAGCAGCATCATACTCGTCTGATCCCAAGATGGTTTTCTCAACGTGAACTCTTTGATGCTGAGGTTTGGATTAGAAATTGTACCTCGCCAAGAAAAGGTCACGTCTGAGCTGTGTATTTCAACCTGAAAGTCTTAAAATATATATTTTTTCCAAGGTTCTTCTTGTCATCAGCTCTGTCCTTTGAAATAAACCGTCACGATTTTGCTCGTGAATCATCAGGCCTTGGTTTGCACCGACACAAAGAGACAGTTGCTTTGGTCTGACTCACACATGACTTGCTCTTTTTTTTTTTTTTTAAGCCATTCATCTTTTCACCAGGTGACGCTTATTCAGCCAGTGAAGTTCATATCCCACAGACCATCCTGCCGTCACTGCTGGGATCGGATCAACAGGCAGCACAGCTCCCCTCGCAGTGGTTTGCTTTGATGATGGTGCAGAGACGCTGTTTCTTCAGAGCGGTGTCGACTTGCTTTAATCATTGTGGGGACAGAAAGTTTGCTTGTTTTCACGTCCAAATACACCTAATGCATATGTTGCTTTAGATCTGTAAATAATTTAGTCATTAATTTTAGATGAGCTGAACAAAATGACGATTTGTGACAAATTTATTAAGTTTGTGTCAGGAAAACTAAAGTAAAATTTCCAATTTCAATCCGTTTGAGCAGATTTGAAAACTATATACTGCCAGTGATGCATCCATATACAGTATTTAAATCATGTTTACAAGAATCAGCCCCCAAATGTCTTACAAATTAGGTAATTTCATGCATGCACTAAAATCAACAGAATTATTTTTATCATGGCAAATCTTAAAATGTCAGATAATTCTCTACTGCAGTTTGATGTTCCAGTTTTTAAAATGACACTGCAGTAATCTTTTCTACCACAAGAGGGAGACAAAGAACACTGCTGCTCGATTTTTTTTTTTATAGCTTTGTTACAAAACATTTAAAGCAGGGGTGTCCAATATTCATAGGTGGGCCAGAACTGTCTAGATGAAATAACTTGTGGGCCAGAAAAGTTTGAATTAAAGAAAACAATTTTTTTTAAAGCACTTTTTTTCTTCTTCTCATTTTTTAATTTATTTTTATATATGAATGTTTCTGTTCAGTGCCCTGACACGACTTCTGTTGCGATTTGGTGCTATATAAATAAAATGAGTTGAACTTGAACAATATTTTGGAAAAGGGTTAAAAGTTTAGTTTTAAGTCTTGTAGATCCAGAACATTAGGAGCCTTAAATACTAACCTTGATTTTTTTTTTAAATAAAATAATCTAATTTGACTTTTTTGGGGGGGACAAATATTTGTGTTCTCGTGCTTTGACGTACATTTTTGTTTATTTTCAGAGGCAAAAGCCTAAAATGAGTAAGTGTTCTTTAAAAAAAGGGAGTGGAACTTGAATCCCTCATTTGGACCATAGACGGCCCAAAAGGGTCATCGAAGTTCTGAACAACAGCTGACTGTTAGAATAGAAGGTTTGAATGGGCACAGATGAAGTTGATCAACTTGTATGTCGATGATACCACTTTATATTCTTTTTAAAATGTCCGACTCATCCCAAACGATTATTAAATCAACTGAAATTATTTTCTTTTTTCATTCATTCAACCTTTATTTATACAGGTTAGTCTCAGTCTTTGAAAACACTTGTTGTGTTTAGCCAAATTTCATGAATTATTAAACAAAATTCAACTTTTAGTAGAAATCAGTGAAGGTTTGTTGTAAGATAAAGGGATTAATTATAGCTAAATTTTTGTTTTGTATTTAATTGTGCTAATTTTGAGGAGAATCTTTTCATTTTGTTGTTAAATCTAAAAATTATATTTAAAAAGTATCACTGTTAAATATAAAGTAGGTCTTCATCTGCATCAATTAAGCCTGTGGGTTCAAAATTATACCATTCTTTAATTGCAGTCGTGGGCCGCACAGAATCACTCCAAGGGCCGCAAATGGCCCTCGGGCCGCACTTGATTTAAAGCCATTAATGTCTACAGACAGAATGGAATGATAATATCACCATAAAAAAGAACATTTCGTTCAAATGAACCAAACAAACAGTATTAAATAACAAAACTTCTCAGCTTCTTGTGTCTATTATGGTTTTAATTTCAGCCCATTTCAACAAAACAGCCTCAATATTTTCTTTGTGTCTTAATGTCATGTGAAACTGCAAGAAGTTGCATTAAAACCGATTTGTATTTTAAGAAAATTACAAAAAGTAAATGGATTTTCTCTGCCCCGCTCACAAAACAAATCTCTGTTACGTCGCTCGTCGTGTCAAACAACAAATATTTAACACAGAAACGGCAGCAAGGACATATGGGGATAAAACTACCGTAAACTAAAAACAGGTTCCTAAGTCCCGTGGCCACGAGGAGGCAGGCGTTAAAAGCACCGCTGCAGTTTTGTTGCGGAGCTGAAAGACAAGAAAAACAAAACTACAGTGAGAACGCTGAGAGCTGAACGACTGCCGAAACTTTACTGGAGAATCTAAAAGTCACTTTTTAAAGCTAAACCGAACACTACCTATAAGCTACAAGAAGCAAAATACTAGCTAAAAGCTAAAAGTGGCTAAATGCTAACAACAAGTAGTAAAATACTTGCTAAAAATGATATTATAGCAAAAAGGCAAGTAAAAGCTAAAGGTCAGAAAAGGCTATAGCTAAACATTGAAAGTCACAAAATAGTAGCTAGAAGCCGAACATGGGGCCAGTTAGAAGCAGCATAAGGTTAAGTGAAAGCTAAAATAGCCAAGGTTAGCTGAAAGTCAAAAGTATAAAAAGGCTTGCTCAAAGTAAATGTAGCAGAACAGTAGCTAAAAGTCAAAAATAGAAAGTTAGCCAAAAGGCCATCAACAATGTTTAAATGTTTTTCTGTAGCTCAAAACAAATTAGCAACAACAGTCATGCACGAGCTAAAACAGCCGGTAAGACTCTCGAGCTAAGGCCACCTGATCACATTTTCCTTACTTCCTTGTTTTCTTTCAGCCTTTAATTACGTCCACTTTAATTATGGGGGAAATGACATGTTTACTTCAATAAGACGAGAGATAAAATGTGTTTTCTGCTCTGAGAATTTAAACAGTTTTTAAACAGCAGCCAAAATGATAAACGTACACATAAGAATAATAAAACACTGTAAACTATGAAGTAGTAAACGGATTTCTTTTCACGTCTACAAAATCCAGTAGAAGGTTTCCTCGTTCTTAAATTTGTGCAAAAACATAAAAAGCCGCATTTTACTTTGAAAGTCCTCGAGTCCACTTTACTCGACAGGGAGGGAGCGAAACGTGCGTAAAAGTTGTGTGCTCCTCCTCTCCATCCATGCGGCTGGTTTGGCTCCAGATGCAAACACAGAGCTTGTTCGCTCTCCTCTCGAGTGGCAGCTCGGCCCTGAAGGCTGACACTGGACTGGAAGGACAACGAAGACAGAGGGGGACGGGACACTCCCGGGATGGAGGTAAACGCTATCAGAGTTCAAAGCCAGATGTTTGACACATTTAACGGCGGCTTCACATTATTTATAATGATCATTGTGTCGTCTTTATTTAACCAAATAACTACTGTGGATCTGATGCGTTTTCTTCCTGTGCTTGGTTCTAAGAAGCTGCACATGATGGTTTATACTTTGCACTTTATGTTTAAATTCCAACAAAAGAGGCACGATTTACCAAAAAAAGCAGAAAAGTTTTCCTGACTCAGTGTTTCAGACACTTCCTCATGCACAAGAAAGGAGAAAGAGCTTATGAAACATCTGTTGCAGGTTTGTTTGTAACAGATTTCAGTGATTTTCCTCAGTAAAAGTACACAGCTTAGTCCTTTGGAGCCTGAAGTGTCTCGTAGTAAAGCTAATTAGAGCTGTTCCTTTGCGTGCTGTAGGACTTTTCCCACCCCTTCCACTGATAAGTGTGGCCTCCTCCCTGTTTAAAAAAAAAAAGAACTTCCTTCAGCGTTTTAACATCATTCTCAAGTTTCACATCTTGTGAAAAGTAGGAAGATAAACACTCGGTTTCTTTCCTCTGCAGCCGATTAGGGAGAAGGGAAGTAATCATCTGCACAACGGCTTTCAGGTTGTTAGCAATCTGAGGAGTCGGACACGCTCGCGCCTCCTTGGTTTGAAAACTGCATGTTGAGGCCAAACACAGATAACATTTGGTAAAACTGTTAGACCTTAATTTGTTTGTTTAATAAACAAACTCGTCCTGAATCTTGAATGATCGGTTTTAACAAGTTGTTAGGAGATGATTCAGGTCTGAGCAGATCTGCAACGTGGTTTATGCTATATAAGTACAGTCCATTTACCATTTAGCACTCAGAGTTATGCTGAATAGTGAAAGTAAGAGCATTTCCACACGCACAATGCGAAGGGAACTCAAGGAATTGGGACTGAACAGCTGTGTAGCCTTAAGAAAACCACTAATCAGTGAGGCCAACTGGAAAAAAAATGATTCAATTTGCTAGGGAGCATAAAGATTGGACTCTGGAGCAATGGAAGAAGGTCATGTGGTCTGAGGAGTCCAGATTTACCCTGTTCCAGAGTGATGGATGCATCAGGGTAAGAAGAGAGGCAGGTGAAGTGATGCACCCATCATGCCTAGTGCCTAGTAATCAATGCAAGATCTTGGTGAAAAATTAATAATAATAATAATAATAATAATAATAATAATAATGTCATCACAATGTCAGCACTGTATGTAATGCAACACAATGGAAATAGATCTTGTGACATTGCAGAAGCTTATTGAAACAGTACCACAGCGGATGCATACTATAATCAAAGCTACAGGCGGTCCAACGAAATATTAGTGTGACCTTTTTTTTGGTGACATTTTTTTTTTTTTTTTTTTGGCCAGGCAGTGTATATCTCAACATTAGTCCAACTGACTGAGTTACAGCCATTCATGTTTAGCTCTGGTTAGTTGGCTGTGACTTCAATGGTTTTATAGTTTACAGTAGTTTTGATTGGTTGGGTGGAACTGCCTCTCTGATCTGAACCCGAGCGGTGTTGTTCTTGGACTTCTGTGCTAGTCATGGTTTGTCCCATCACAAACACCATGTGCAAATATAAGGGTGTCTTTAAGTGCACTTGGCACCAGGACGCCCTATGTCGTAGATCAATGATTGACTTTGTAGTTGTGTCACCTGATTTGTTGCCATTTGTTTTGGACACTCAGGTGAAGAGAGAAGCTGAGCTGTCAACTGATCTCCACCTGGTGGTGAGTTGGATCAGATGGTGGGGGAAGATGCCAGACAGGCCCAGTAGACACAAACATGTAGTGAGAGTTTGTTGGGAACACCTGGCAGAAGAACCCATCAGAAAGATCTTCAACTCCCACCTCCGGGAGCTTTAACTGCATCCCAGCTGAGGCGGGGGACATTGAGTCTGAGTGGGCCATGTGCCACGCCTCAGTTGTTGATGCGGCTGCCTTGAGCTGTGACCACAAGGTTGTCGATGCTTCTCACGGTGGTCATCCTCCAACTTGGTGGTGGATACCCTGGGCTAGGGAGGTTGTCAAGCTGAAGAAGGAGTCCTATAGGTCCTTGTTGGCCAGTGGGACTCCGGAGACAGCTGAGGAGTACCAGAGTGCCAAGCAGTCCACAGCCTTGGCTGTTGCTGAGGCAAAAGCTTGGATGTGGGAGAAGTTTGGTGAGACTCTGGATAATGACTTTTGGTTGGCTCCGAGGAGATTCTGGCAAACCATCAGGCAGCTGAGGAGGGGAAAGCAGCACTTTACTAACACGGTGTTCAGTGAAGGTGGGGTGCTGTTGACCTCAACCAGTGATGTCGTCGGGAGGTGGAAGGAAGACTTGTTGGACCTTCTCTATCCCACCAGCACAGCTTCCATGGAGGAAGTGGAGTCAGGGGACTTCAGGATTGGTCTGTCCATAACTGTGACTGAGATCGCCGAGGTAGTTAAACAGCTCTACGGCAGCAGGGCTCCCGGGATGGATGAGATTCACCCTGATTTTCTTAAGGCTCTGGATGTTGTGGGGCTGTCTTGATTGACACGCCTTTGCAACATTGCATCGACATTGGGGGCAGTGCCACTGGATTGGCAGACTGGGGTGGTGGTTCCCCTTTTCAAAAGACAGGACCCTTCAATTACAGGGGCATCACACTCCTTAGCCTCCCTGATAAGATCTATTCAGGGGTACTGCAGAAGCGAGTCCAATCATTGGTCGAACCTCAGATCCAGGAGGAACAATGTGGGTTCCGTCCAGGCCATGGAACACTGAACCAGATCTTTACCCTCACTAGGGTCATTGAGGAGTCTTAAGTTTGCCCATCCAGTCTACATGTGTTTTGTGAACTTGGAGAAGGAGTTTAACCGTGTTCATCAGGGTACACTGTGGGGGGTGCTCTGTCAGTATGGGATTGGGGGCCCGTTGCTATATGCTGTTCAGTCCCTGTACAAGCGGTGCGAGAGTTTGGTTCTCATTATTGCTGGCAATAAGTTTCATGGGTGAAAAAGATTTTGCCACTCCATCATGATGCATTATCATATTACTATAAGAAAGAAGGACCAATCCAAACAGTTTACTATGAGCCTTAAACATTTTTATTATAATTTTAACTTTGCAAAATAACAAATACCATCATCTAAATCCATCCATCCATCATCTTTACCCACTTCTTCCTTTCTTGGTCGCGAGGTCACTGGTGCTATTTTCCAGTTGTCACTGTGTGAGAGGCAGAGTACATCCTAGACAGGTCACACCTAGGGACAATTTAGAGTTACCCATCAGCCCAACATGCATGTTCTTGGTCTGTGGGAGGAAACCGGAGTACCAGGAGAAAACCCATGCATGCACAAAGAGAACATGCACACTCCATCCAGAAAGGTCCCAGGCTGGAATTCGATCCAGCGACTTTCTCGCTGAGATGTGGCAGCGCTACCAACTGAGCCACAGTGCTGCCATCGTTGTCCAAGTGATTTGATCAAGTTGTGTTTGAACGAGCCTTGATAACAAGTAAACAACCTCGCACAAAGCAAAAGATCCGCTACACAGTTGTTAAAATTAAATATCAAAACTGACGTTTTCAATAATTTTGCCTTTCATTAGTTAAATTTATCTGCTGAAATGAAACACACCTCTTCTGACTGGTTCGTTTCTAAAATAAATAAATAAATAATAATCACTTTGTCCAGCTTTTCCGAGCAGATGAACTCGTGGAAGTTCTAAAAATTCACATGTTGTGCGTTGTAAGAACGAGATGATGAAACAAACTAGATCATTGTGCAGTCGACTGTGTGTGCGTGTGTCCGTGCACCTGAGTTTTTCTTTACGAGCGCGTGTTTCATGCAGTGGGATTTTCCTTTGGTGGAAGGAAAACACATCACAAGAGCAGAAGTGAGTGTTTAGGACAGCCAACCATGTGGTGAGCACATTTCTTATGTAACAGACGGTAAAGCTAACAGAGCAGGGAGCGTCTGCTGCAGCCACTTCACTAATGACTTCATTCTTTCCTCTCCTTCTCCAACACTACGTCACCTGAACAGTGACTTTAAAGCCCTCACACCTCAGTTCAAGCACCACTTCATCACCAGAGCACTGCAAAGTTTGCAAAGGCCGTGCATTCGATGAGTTTCAGCTCAGGATGATTTGATGTTGAGGATATAAAAAAACTAAAGTTTTAGTGAAGCTTGGTGATTGGAAATAATCAAACAAAGCCTCCTCTGTAGTCACAAGGTTAGATCTTTTGGTGAATATCACATTTTGAAACACCTCCTGACTTCAGCTTTGAAGATATATTTAAAAACTCTTCGAGTTTAATTTTTGGTGCACAGCAGTGCCCTTGGAAATCACTGAACAAAATATTGCCGTTAGTGCAAACTTATATGTATTTTGGTCATTTTCTAACATTTTCCGAACATTTTAACATTTTCCTGACGTTATCATCTCATCTAATCAGATAAAGACACAGGTGCTCAGCGTAAATGAAAGATGCAATTATTTTCTGTAGTGTTTAACCTTATTTAAAATTATTTTTTAAATTGCATGTGCAGTAACAAACAATACAACGATGCCGTGTATTGGAGGAAAAAAACAAAATAGTTTTCTGATATGAATTCCTTTTGATCAGAAAGTCTCACCATGACTTGCTTCATCTCCATCCCAGTTGATTTTCCATACAACTCGTGTGCCGTCACGACGTATAGGATCGTCGTACTGTGGCCGCCTGAAACCTCTGCAGTTTGATTTTTTTTTAAATCTAAGGCAAACAGAACACAGAAATGAGAAAACAATTAAAATCCATTCAACCTTTATTTAGACAGGTTAATCCCATTGAGCCTCGAGGACTCATTTACAAGAGAGACCTGAAAATAAAGTCCCAAAACACCCACTATCCTTTGCCATGTTGTTGAGGCGACCTTCCCTCTGCCGGTCAAAGCCACTCGAGTCCGTTTGGTGTAGCTCCCTCTGAATTCTGTCTGCCAACAAACACCGAAACATCTC